AGAGAGAGAGAGAGAGAGAGAGAGAGGCCGAGAGAGAGAGAGAGAGAGAGAGAGAGAGAGAGAGAGAGAGAGAGAGAGAGGATGAAGATGAGGAAGAGGATGAGGAAGAGGAAGAGGAAGAGGAGGAGGAGGAAGAAGACAATGAAGAAGAAGCAAAGAAGAGGAAGAGAAGGAAGAGGAAAAGGAAAACGAAGACGATGAAGACGACGAAGAAGACGAAGACAACAAAGATGATGCTGATGACGACGAAGAAGAAGGCGATGAAGACAAGAATGACAAGTAGACGACGATGATGACGATGTCTTCGTCTTCGTCTTATTTGTTGCCTTCATCTTCTTCGTTGATGTCTTCGCTGAAGATGACAAAGACGACAAAGACGACGAAGAAGCAAAGACGACAAAGATGACAAAGATGCAAAGACGATGAAGACGGCAAAGAAGAAGAAGACGATGACGTCGAAGAAGAAGCAATGAAGACAACGACGAAGAAGTAGCAGCAGCAGCAGGAGCAGAAACAGAAGCAGAAGCAGAAGAAGCAGGAGAAGAAGAAGGAGGAGAAGGAGGAGGAGGAGGAGGAGGAGAAGAAGAAGAAGAAGAAGAAGAAGAAGAAGAAGAAGAAGAAGAAGAAGAAGAAGAAGAAGAAGAAGAAGAAGAAGAAGAAGATGACATCAGCGATGACGACGAAGAAGGCGATGAAGACGACAACGACAAGAAAAAGACAATGACGATGGTGTCTTCGCCTTTGTCTTCGTCTTCATCTTCTTTGTTGCCTTCATCTTCTTTGTCCATGTCGTCGTCGAAGACAATGAAGACAACCAAGACGACAAAGAAGAAGAAGGCGATGAAGACGGAGAGGAAGAAGAAGAAACCTTCGTACCTTAAAGGGGAAGAGCGTGTGTGTGTGCTACATGTATTTCATCTTGACTTGCCGGGGAAATATGAACTGTACTGATGCTCTCCAGAATGGAAAGGAGCCAGAACCATAAGGTTCTGTTTAAAAAACAAAAAAGAAAAAGTAAAAAAAAGGGTGAGGACAAAGCCGAGGACAAAGATAAGACAAAGATGAAAAAGAAGACAAAGATGACGATGACGATGGTGACAACAATGATGAAGATGAAGATGGAGACCACAATGAAGACAGAGTTGAAGGTGGGGAGACAAATGACCTTCTGAAAAAAGTGGTTCTAGACTTCTAGTAAAAAAGACTCAAAATACAAAATTGTTATGTTAAATTTGTGCTCTCCCTCAACTAACAGAAACTCGTAAAAAAGGACGTTCCCACATATAATGAAGTCACAGAGATCACTCTTCTGACACGACGACGAGTTCACCACTTTCATCAACGAACAACCGAACCCTTGAAATCTTGACCTTCCCCAATAACTGATGGAGAATGGCTATGCCTTCACTGTAAAAACCCGACCATCCCACATTGTGAACTAATGGTAGATAATCATATCTTTTTGAAGCGCTCAAAATCACTAAAACTCAACTGCACGTGCTGAGGTGTAGGGAGGCTATGGTAGGTACACCAGATGCAAAGGAGAGAGGGTGATGGTAGGTACACCGCATGCAAAGGAGAGGGTGATGATGGAAGATACTTCTACGTACAGTCTAGGGTCTTCTTGATGGAGCCCAATGAACACTCGTGTCACTTCGCATATCTTCAGACGGAATATTCTAGCTGGCTGCACATTCTCACCCCCTGAGGACCAGTCATCGGCAATGAAGCTGCATGGAATGTGGATCTCCTTCCACGGCTTGGTTCCATCTCGATTAATGCAGCAGACTGTCAGTCCAATGAAATTCTGTCCAGCAGCACATGGCCCCCAAAAATGTCAATGTTACACACGTATTCACATCTCCTGTGCTAGGGTAGTTTCTGATGAACATCTTTACAGCGCAACACAAGCAACACAATTTGTCTCACTCCTTGGGCCATGAAGGATTGGGCTACCGGTCCACGTGAGACACTGTCCTGCTGACCTAATGCTTTGGGCCATGAAGGGGTTTAACAGCGGCTGGTCAGCTGCTCATACAGGCCTGTCCCAAATCCGATCCGGCCGACCACAGGTGCAGGTCCCAGCATTTCACAGTCCTGTTTCTAAGTCGCACAATGCACACTACCTTTGAAGTTTTCACGTGTGCTGTCTATTTCGGTTCTTCATTTCATCAAGCGGGGTATCACAGATGCAGGCGCAATTGCACAGCAGGGCTCTCTCTCTGTCTCTGCCTCTATCTGTCTGTCTGTCTGTCTGTCTGTCTGTCTGTCTGTCTGTCTGTCTGTCTGTCTGTCTGACATCTTTTCCCGCTCCTGAAGGTGATGAGAGAATATTGATGGACGCAGTTGGGATAAGGATTGACATGGTGATCACTGTGATGCTATGGTGATAAGAGGGAGGAGGGGGGACCTACCCTCGGGAATTGGGATCGATATGGTAACAACGTGGTATGACGATCGTGCTAATATTGATAGAGATGACATGAAACAGGGGTGTTCAAGACGATGATAATGATGAGACACAGAAGGCAGGGTGAAAATACAGTGTGGTTGTTTTGCACTGTCTGCTGGATTTCGTCGGTAAGGATTGTGATATGGATGGTGGCGAGAATGGGGATAGCGATGGTGGAGACTGCCATGATGCTGACGACGGTGATCATACATATGTTGATAGTGATGAGAGAGACATGGAGGGAGGTATAGGGGGGACATTCTCCTTTCGGCAATGGGGATCGTCATGATAATGGCGAGATGCGAATGATCATTGATGATGATTGTCATGTTGATAATGATGAAAATGGGGAGGTGAGGTCAGGGGTGTTGATGCCGATGATGATGATGACAAGATGCCAGAGGGAGGAGGAGGAAAGCCTGGTTGTTTCACACTGTCTGCCTGGAGTTTGTCACTGATGATTGTGCCCTGGATGATGGTGAGGACACAGGGATGATGCCATAGCCATGAGGGCCATGAAGACGATAATCAATATGATCACATCGTTTCCCTTCCAAAACGTCTTTCACAACCACTTGTCTCCATCACTTAGGTTTGACTGGTGTGTTGTTGCTGCTTGTAACCAGAATCAAATTATAAACCTGGCCAGGCTGACATTAACTTTCATTAAGCTCGGGTTGCGCATACAATCTGTTGGAGCTGAGCCTTACATTTATCATGGCGCTCCTCACAAGTTCTTGACCAGCTACGTTAGCATACCCATCGGCCACAATATTCAAGGACAGGACATTGGTTTACTCTGTATTGCATGGTTGCATCCCTGCCAGCCGCCGATCCCGACCGCCGACCAGTAGGGCCGACCGGTCGGCGGTCTGCCGACCAGTCAGAAAACAAACATCCACTAATTTTTTCTCAGATCTGAGTTGGAAGCTGTACTGCGC